AAAAAAAAAAAAAAAAAAACAAAAAAAACAGACTCACCAGGTGGATTGGCACTATTAAGTAACCACATAAATACAGACTTTCTGTCACGAATGTTATGTTTCCTGGCTAGGAGCAAATCACAACCCCTGCCCCTACTCAAGGAAGAGGGAAATTGCACAGGTGTGACTCCCAGGAGCAAGGCTCATGGGGACCTCCTTTCAATCTATGGGACAAGCCTGTGGGCCACCCTGGAACTCATCCCAGGGGCTGCAGAGATAAGGGCTCTTCTCCTTTGCCTCATATTAGTTGTTTCAAAACCTTCTAAGGATGTGTTGCTGTCTCAACTTCGTGTGTCAAAAGATTTCTTTGGTCTCCTCTACTCTAGACCACTGATGGTTGGTCAAACTCAGAGGACACTTAGATACCCAACCACTATCCTTAAGGACCACTACATTTCTCCTCTGGTCTGTACAATATAACTGCCCCTTTCAGGCCAAACACCTGTTTCTTTATCTCTGCATTAGCAGTACTAACTAGTATGCTTATTAACTGGCACAGCTTTGCCAAGGGCAATTTGGAGTTGCACAAACCATTTTAGAGAGATTTTGACATGAAGATTGTTCCTCTGAGGCCTGAGTAATGTAAAGTAAAAGTTAATAATTTTGGTAAACTTTTTGTCCAGAAACTCCTTTTTTAAGTCAGATTACTTTCTATTTTGAGGTACTTGTCGTATATCTTCTATAAAAACTATTCTTACTGGGCATGGTGATGCCCTATAATCCTAGCACTCAGGAGGCTGAGGCAAGAGGGTCACGGCATGTTTGAAGCCAGCCTCTACTACATAGTGTGTTCAAGGCCAACCTGAGCTATATAGCAAAACCCTGCCTCAAAATCAAAACAAAGCAAAAACTATTCTTGACCTTGTTGTTCCAATCATACCCAAATCCAATAAAATAAGATGTATTTTCTACTTAAACTATTGTTGGGTTTTCTAAAGTGACCACGTAGAACAAAGATTTACTATCCATAAAAATAAGGGCAACAGAAATGATTAGATGTGTCTAAAAATTCTCCAAACTTTAACTCAAACCGATTACAAGAACTTTCATCCACCAAGCTTAAAACAAACTGGATAAATCAAAGTTGAAGTTGACATGCCTCAGCTGATTATACCTAAGTAAAATATATTCAATATTGCTCAAAGCATGCTTTAGTTAAAAGAAACATAGCAATGTTTAGGCTTGAAGACTGGTATTTTAACTATCTTCCAAAAGATGTTTTCCATTATTCTACATTCACAAATCATACCCTACATCTGCGTCATTGTCATCATCATCGTCATCGTTATTTTGTTGTAAAGCTGAACAGGCACAGGGTAATGAGGTAGGAAATTAGCTCATGGTCACCTGGCTGGGCAAGTAGACAGGACCTGTCAATCACAGGGATCCAGGACATAGGCACTCAAACTCTATACATGGGGCCAATCCAAAAATACTGTCTTCAGCTCTGGTGTGAAATCAAGCAGGTTTCTGATAGGACAGCCTAGAGTTGACATCAGAATGGAGGATACAAAAGATGGCTGCCTTGAGCCTCATTGCTACCATAAGATCTTTCAGTGTCTCGCTCTCACCCTGTAGGGCATTGTGCTTTTCCTATTTTAATTGACTCCCACTCATTCTGCAGAGGATACTTCTTTTCCTACCTTTGATAAATGTAAAACTAGGCTATGTTTTTCGCTTGTTCTATTCCTTGACAACAATCTGCAAAGAATCTCTAAAAGGAGTCCACAGAACCCCAGTAACAATACCAATTCAATTAAAGCTACCAGAAAGACATTGCTTATTTAGTCTTTTATTGGATCTAATCACCAACATATTCACCCTAAGAATTACAGCAGCACCAGCAAAAGTAAGAATTTCAGTTGATTTAGTTCTAAGGTCTCCACTAAACGTCACAGTTTCCCAGTCCATGCTTTATTCAGACTCTTCCATTTACACTGAACCCTCAGCATTTCTTGATTAGTCCTTTAACTCCCTGTAAAGTATTATTTTCTCTTCACCCATCATTGTCCAGTATTACAGTGCTGCAAGCCCAGCCATTTCTTCCCTCACTCGAAAAAGAAACAGGCCAGATTGTTTTCCTTTTTTAAGGGTCTACCATCCCCTGCACAGACCTGGAGACTCTTTTGGACAACTGTGATTTACCTGGTGTTTGTAGATTATTCACACATAGAAAGTAAAATTAAAAGTTGCTATATAGATGACATCATCTGAGTTAGTCTTATCCTTCAAATATAAGCTTTTCTCAAAAATTGTATTCTTTCAGTTTGACTAACTTAATTGTCCTCTTCCAGAGCCAGCCAACTTATAAAAATAAATAAACATTGATACTGGTAGGAGATTTGGTTAGGTTATGACTTTTAAATGCCTTAGAAAACAAACGACCTGTCTACCACAGAAACTATGAAACTAATAATGAATTACAGAAACTTATGTAAGATCGTGGTCATAATAAAAATGAGTTTAGGAGAAATTTGTTATGATATCACCCACAATGGCACAGAAGAATTGGTACCAGTACCGAACCAACATTGATAGGGTGATTTTAAGGACATTACTAAGCATATTTCCAATGCACACCATACCTGCAAGTAACACAATCCTAAGGACACAAGAATCTTGAGGCTTATCGCACATCTTGGCTTCCTCTTACACACAAAGGAGGAATCTGTACTGTTGACATTAATGAATTAGCAACCTGAAGACTAATAAAAAGCAAAGAAGACGTGATTCCACCCCCACCCCATTTCGCTTTCTTAGTCATTAGCTATAGGTAAGATCCAGACAGGCTTGGGGTTTCAAACTTTAGCTAAGAGAATGTAACACCCTTTAAG